AAATATACTTATATATATATATATATATATATATATATATGTCAATGCTTATTTCTTTCAGTGTAGCATAACATGCAAAAACTGTACGGGTATGAGAGCTGAAGTGGTTAAAATGGATCATGGCACCATGCACCAAATACGTCAGCTTCTATTTTTCCCCAGAAATCTTGTGCTCTTTTAATAAGTGAAACAGGACTGATAAAGTACAATTAAAGAACATTTCATTGGCAACTGTTTCCAAAGTTTTATGACCTACCCTTTATGGTGTCTAAACTTTAACTTTACTAGTTCTTGAGTTTCAGAAAGGACAAGTGCACTGTTGAGATAAAAATCAAATGCTATGTTGATCTTCACACCTGCTTCAATCAATACCTTCAATGCTTTGAGCCATCATTTCCATATAGCACATGCCTTCAATACAGTGTCACGCTAATCATAAACAACTTTCAGGCAATTTTATCTAAGTTTTGATTGCTAACACCATTGAAAGCAATTAAAAGTATAATCGATCATTAACTAAGTTGGCCAACTGGCAAGCTTTGACCAATTTTGAGGTCTGAAATACCTTTAAAGATTGAATGCATAATTGTACTAAAATAGAAATTGATCAAAAACATGAGTTTCTATTTAAATCAAGAATATGGAGGATTTAACTGCAACTCTTGAAGACAAAAAAAGAAATCATTCAGAAGACATGGTCCTACTCAATCCAATTCACATTCTGCATTGAATATGTGTCCATATGGTTGAGTTAGACCTTGAACCCATCATACAGAAAACGTAACTTATTATTTTATTTATTTCAGGTAGTTATATAGCCCCGTCAATTTACACAGTGCTTTACATATATATATTGTACATTCACATCAGTCCCTAACCCTCAAGGGGCGTACAATCTAAGGCCCCTAACTTACATTCATACATACACATACTAGGGACAATTTAGACAGGATCCAATGAACCTATCAGCATGTCTTTGGAGTCTGGGAGGAAACCGGAGTACCCGGAGGAAACCCACACAGGCACAGGGAGAACATGCAAACTCCAGGCAGGTGGTGCTGTGGTTGGGATTCGAGCCAGCAACCCTAGTACTGCCAGGCGGAAAACTTGAAACTGATCCAAAGGCCACACTGTACTACCCAGTACCATGAGTTGGTGAATTTGGTTCCATCTCACCTGGGTGGGTTGGCTTTGCCAACTGCCTTTCACCTCCCGAGGAGACCACTGTTCGTTATTTTGAACCACCTCCACCTCCCTTTCTCTTTTCCCCCTTCACTGTTCTTTTCTTTGTGCCTTTTTACTCCTCTTTCTTCTCTTGAACCCCTACCTTATCATTCCCATATGTAATATAAATAAAATATTTGCACCTCCAATGGAGTCATATTGTATTTCATTTAATTGACATTGGCAGGGTTGACATACCCATCATGAATTGCACCCATCCAAGGACTTTTCTTGCCATCTCCTTTACAGGATTCCCACTTAATCCTCCATTGGGTTCAGAATGGTTACTTTTCCCGTAGAGGATCCCAGCACAGGAGAGCTACATATGCAGAGAGGGGGTTCATTATACACAAATGGGGTTGTTGTTGGGTTACAGGAAGGGTCTTAGGCTGGCCATACATTATACAAATTTCCTTTAGATTTACCAAAACCATATAATATGAGGTCAAACCTAATCACTTTCCATTTTGTATGCAAACAGGCTCTACATAGCTGAAGGTAAATCTAAAGGAAATTGAATAAGAAAGTTGTATAATGTATGGCCAGCTTTAGTTCGGGGTATCACACTCTGTGCTGTTTCAAAAGCTACCAGCATAAATCTCTCAGTGCTACAAGAACAGAAAGACTGGGCATCCCCTGCATCATTTTTGCTTAGCCCATCACAACTGTTCCCTGTCAGGCTTCCTTGGAAGTATGCTGGGGATACCTTCAATGAAATACACAAAACTAGACTGAAAGGATAAAATGGACTAACAATTTGTGATACATACAAAATTAATCATAGAGCTGTGTGCTTGTCTTTATTACTCAGACATATCAAAACACCACGGTAGAAGAAAACCCATAAAATATCCACCCTATACCACACAAATGCATATTCAACTCATACCTGAACCAGATATTCAGACATAGATCAAAATAGTCCCTAAAACGTCTGTATCTCCTTGAAAATAAAATCAGAACATTGAAGTGCCAGCATAGTAGCTTAGTTGTTAGCTCTTTTGCCTTACAGCACTATGGTTATTGGGTCAAATCCCAACCATGACACTATCTGCATGGAGTTTGCATGTTCTCCCTGTGCTTGCGTTGGCCTCCTCTCACACTCCAAAGACATGCTGGTATGTTAATTGACTCTGTGTGTATGCGTGCATGCAAGGTAGAGATCTTAGAATGTAAGCTCCTTGAGGGCAAGGACTGGTGTGCACGTACAATAAACTACTGGTGCTATACATTTACCTGTAATAAATAAACAATATAAATGAAATAGAAAATAGTCTCTATAGCATTCAATGGACCAACATATATAATAAAAATAATCTGGGCAGCCTAAAAAATTCCCAAATATCCAATCGGAAAACCACTGAATATCCACAGCGTCTATAAAATTTTTATATGTAGACAAACTAGTGCCCTCTGCATGTGTCATCTGTTCTGTTCTCCAATAAAAAGGTGTCAAAGGTCCCTGGTCATCAACCAATCAGCTGCCACTATCAGTCCCAAGCTATGATCAGGCTATTACAACTTAATCTTACATAGTTACATATTTAGTCTGCCTGAAAAAAGACAAAAGTCCATCCAGTTCAACCATTAAAAAAAAAAAAAGTTATAATCCTATACCTTCAATTGATCCGGAGGAACGCAAAAAAAACCAGCAAAGCATGATCCAATTTGCTCCTGCAGGGAAAGAAAAATCCTTCTTAATCCCCCGAGAGGCAACCGGATATTCCCTGGATCAACTTTACCTAGAAATGTTATATCCAGTTATATTCTGTGTATCTAGGAAAGAATCCAGGACTTTTATAAAGCAATCCACTGAGCTGGCCAGAACCAACTCTTGAGGGAGTCTATTCCACATTTTCACAGCTCTCACTGTGAAGAAACCTTTCCGTGTTTGGAGATTAAATCTCTTTTCCTCCAGATGTAAAGAGTGCCCCCTTGTCCTCTGTGATGACCTCAGGGTGAATAACTCTACAACGAGTTCACTATATGAACCACTGATGTATTTATACATGGAGATCATATCCCCCCCTTATGTATTAAACATGGAGATCATATCCCCCCTTATGTATTATACATGGAGATCATATCCCCCCTTATGTATTATACATGGAGATCATATCCCCCCTTATGTATTATACATGGTGATCATATCCCCCTTATGTATTATACATGGTGATCATATCCTCCCTTATGTATTATACATGGAGATAATATCCCCCCTTATGTATTATACATGGAGATCATATCCCCCCTTATGTATTATACATGGAGATCATATCCCCCCTTATGTATTATACATGGAGATCATATCCCCCTTATGTATTATACATGGAGATCATATCCCCCCTTATGTATTATACATGGAGATCATATCCCCTCTTATGTATTATACATGGAGATCATATCCCCCCTTATGTATTATACATGGTGATCATATCCCCCCTTATGTATTATACATGGAGATCATATCCCCCCTTATGTATTATACATGGTGATCATATCCCCCCTTATGTATTATACATGGTGATCATATCCCCCCTTATGTATTATACATGGAGATCATATCCCCCCTTATGTATTATACATGGAGATCATATCCCCCCTTATGTATTATACATGGAGATCATATCCCCCTTATGTATTATACATGGAGATCATATCCCCCCTTATGTATTATACATGGAGATCATATCCCCCTTATGTATTATACATGGAGATCATATCCCCCCTTATGTATTATACATGGTGATCATATCCCCCTTATGTATTATACATGGAGATCATATCCCCCTTATGTATTATACATGGTGATCATATCCCCCCTTATGTATTATACATGGAGATCATATCCCCCCTTATGTATTATACATGGAGATCATATCCCCCCTTATGTATTATACATGGAGATCATATCCCCCCTTAATCTCCTCTTCTCAAGAGAGAATAAATTCAGTTTATTGTATGTATGTCTTGTATGTTCATGTTTTATGAAAAAATGATCTTGCATTGGATCACTCTCAAACAAAGGCTGCCCGCAGACAGGACATTTTTTGTTTTTTGCTATGCCAAAGATTTGACAAACTTATGACAATTGTTTCTTTTTTACAGAAAAGATTGCAAATAAAATAAAAAGACTGGCAAACAACCAGCAGACTGATTTTGCAACAGGATGTACAATTGTTCTCGGTAGACGATCAATAACATGGGAAGCCATTGATCCGAACGAGTGCATAGAGTGCAGGGCTGTGGAGTCATTATGTTATCTGTTTGAAATCTATTGTTTCACTAGAACTTGTAATTAGAACAATTCACACAATTCCACAGAAAATCGTATGTACATTTTTAATTGGCGCACAGATATTCAGGATTGTGTTGTTTTTGTTTATATTGCTTTAGATGGGGAAAACACAATCACATAGATCATGACTGAACAATTGGACACCTTAGCTGTTGGGAATTCTCTCAGTAATGGTGAGAATCTAAACACCCAGACAAAGAATAATTTATGTACAATACAGCTAAGGTTCACCAAATATTGACTTTCTCCTAATAGCACAAATACTGAGCTCTGAGCCACTGTGGGACTTAATCCACAAAAGAGACTGAACATACCTTATTACAGGTGAGACTGCAGAACACAACAAAACACCAGATATTCACTACATATGTTATTGAAGCCAAGGATTAGATATGGCAATCTTTACATAGTTACATCGGTCCAGCTTGAACCACTGGTGCCTCCCATAGTGAGTTGAGCTGTCCACCGTCCAACCTTAAATGGGTTTGATCTTGAATATGTATATGTCGTACCTGTGGGATCCCCTTGGAAGCTGAAAATCACTGTAGTAGGCATTACTGTAATAGGTAGGTACAGGGGAGGACTGACCATTTGGAAACTTGGGCACTGCCCAAGGGCCGGGGTCAGTAGGGGGCCCCATGAGATGCCCCTGGTACCTTTTTCATAGGCTTTTTTGAGTTTGGGCAAGGACACAGGGGCCCCATGATCCCCTATTGCCTGGGGGCCCCATGAGTTGTCAGTCCACCCCTGGGTAGGTATTCCAGTTATTTCCACTGGCTGCTAGGTCACATGCTGATTGGTTTCTCACTTGGCATGGGCACCATTTAGACAACACTTTACATTTTCTCAATGAATGCAAAGCATGTTCTGATTGGCCAAGGTGGAGAGGAGGGGTGATGACAATGATCTCCACCTCGCCCAATCAGAGTACACCTTGCATTCATTGGGAAAATGCAAAGTGTTGTCTGAATGGTGCCTGTGCCAAGTAAGCAACCTCCCAGAATGGGTCCTAGAAGAAGACCTGGAACAAGTGACCTCCTGTGTTCACTAAGAAACAGGGCAGCCACTCAGCATGGGACCTGGAAGCTAGTAGAGTTCTTTGGAGTAGTGGTGCCCGCTACGGTGATTTCCAGATTCCACATGTTTAGCATATATAATGATCTCCACCTCGCCCAATCAGAGTGCACCTTGCATTCATTGGGAAAATGCAAAGTGTCGTCTGAATGGTGCCCATGCCAAGTGAGCAACCTCTCAGCATGGGACCTAGAAGAAGACCTGGAACAAGTGACCTCCTGTGTTCACTAAGAAAACGGGCAGCCACTCAGCACAGGACCTGGAAGCTAGTAGAGTTCTTTGGAGTAGTGGTGCCTGCTACAGTGATTTCCAGATTCCACAGGTTTAGCATATACATACTTACATTGGTTCAAGCTGGACCAATGAACCAATACAAAGAAAGCCATACCTAAACCTCATATTTAAAGTTGTCATACGTGGGAAGACCACTCATCTGTAAAGACATGAAGTTTGCTTGCCATCCTCAAAATTTCTGTATTGCCCAAATAAAACTGACATTTCTCCTTAAATCAAACCATGTTTTACTGTAGCCTATATGAAATTCTTCTATTTTCAATGCAGATTGGCGGTCACAGAGTGGCACCATGGGGAACTGCCAGCATAGGAAAGCCCATTAAGTATTCTTGTCATGGGGATTGCCATGGTAACCATCTGCCTAAAATCAAGGTGTCATAGGGAACACCCATGGGAAAGGGGTCTTAGTCCAGAGCAGGGTTCCTCAGCTATGGTTCCATGGAACCCTAGGGTTTCTCCACAGGTTGTTAGGGGTTCTGTGAGGAATAGGCAATTTCTGCCTTTCATATAAGTTCCCACTGACACCATTGATCATTTTAGCTATCCACAAGGGGGTGATTCTTCACAATGACCACAAAGGTAAGGAGCATTCTTCCCATTGACCATCACATCAATGTATCATGAGTTGTAGATATAGTCATTTTTAGCAGGGGTTCCCTGAGACCAGAAAGTTATTTCAAGGGTCCCTCTGTGTTGAAAAGGTTGATAAAGACTGGTCTAGGCCAATAGCAGTAACATGGTTGACTATACCAATAAAGCTGGGGGAGTTTCTGAGGATGACATCAGTGGAGCATGCCAGCATAATTCATATATGAAACTTGTAGTCTCCATCAGAAGCTCATGTGGCAGGGTGACAACAGAGGAACACAACTGGGTGACAAGGACAGAGTATTGTCATCCTACAAAAGAAAGCGCCTGAACAAGAAAGCTCATGGCAAGGTCATCAGGTAATTTTTTGTTTTGAACCACTTCCCGACCGGCCGTTGCATATAAACGGCCGGACGTTGGCAGTGCAGGGTCGGGTGGCCGTTTATAAACGGCCTCCCTGCACCCTGCTTGTGCGCGCTCCCTGGGAGCGTGCAGCACCGCGATGCGGTGCCCGCTGTGTCCTCCGGACACAGTGAAACACCAATCGTCGGACGGGACCTCTGTACAAGGTCCCGATCATGTGATCACTGGCCAATCAGGCCAATCAGTGATCACATGCAAAGTAGTAAGCAAGATGTCACTTGTGACATCATTGCTTACTACATGTGAAATATGTGAATGATCACAGAGGTCACATGGTACAAGGCTATTCACAACAGCCTTGTACCATGTGACAAGCTGTGACCAATCACAGCTCACTCAGTACTTCTCAATGAGTGCAAAAATGCAGACAAAGAGAAAGAGAAATGATTGCTTTTACATCCTATATGGGTGTAAAAGCAATCAGTGTAAAAAAAAAAAAAAAAATCTTCATCACCCCCCTCAAGTAGTACAGTGTCACCATGGTGACACTGTACTGCTAGGGTGACAGTATGTAAAAAAAAAAAAATATATATATAAAAAAAATAAAGTAAAAATGTAAAAAAAAATGTTTAAAAATTATAATTTTTGGTTATAAACTAATTTGGATTTTTTTTTTTACTAAAAAGATAACGGAATAAATTTTGGCAAAGATTTATGATGAAATATTATTTATTTGCAAAATTTTATAAAAAAAAAAAACACTTTTTTTCAAAATTTTTGGACTTTTTCATTTACATAGCAAAAAAAAATAAAAATCCCAGCGGTGAATAAATACCACCAAAATAAAGCTTTATCTGTGTCAAAAAAATGGTAAAAAATTAATTTGGGTACAGTGTTGCATGACTGCGCAATTGTCATTCAAAGTGTGATAGCGCTGAAAGCTGAAAATTGCCCTGGTCAGGAAGGAGGTAAAAGTGTCCGGTCTGGAAGTGGTTAACGAATTCTGCAGATTTAAAAATATTAAAAATGACTTATGAAATGACTTTTGTGTGTAAATAGATTATGAGGTTTTTTTTAATACAATGCGGTTAGCCATTCTTTTTTGTTCCTCCATCCACACCCTAAGGCTGGCCATACATTATACAATTTTCTTACAAATTTCTGTCCGATTTCTGCACAATTTCCTTTAGATTTACCTTCAACTATGTAGTGCAAGGGCCTGCCTAATTGGATACAATTGCAAGTGTTGTTTAGGTTTGACCTCCTATTATATGGTTCTTGGTAAATCTAAAGCAAAATTCACAAGAAAATTGTATAGTGTATGGCCAGCCTAGACAGGAAGTGTGTTACTGGGCAGATCACCAGGTGAAAACAATGGAAAGAAAAGCCTACAAAATTAAAACTAATGCAGCAATTACATCTAAGGATTGGTAAGCTGCAATATAATACATGTTTGGGTTTAACACTGCTTTAAAACACCCAGTCATTGAGAAAGAAGTAGCAATTTGATTGTTCAGAGATGTATTGCAATGTTTGTTACTACATCAGTAATTTGCTCTCAGTCAGGCGACAGAATGTTAAGAAACACATTACGAGGGTGGTGACCGTACCCATAAATTGTGATTGGTGGCAATGAAAACACAAGGTACAGTTTAATGAGTGCCAGGAATTTGATGCATTTGTAGTTTAGTTGTCTTTAATGTATTTTGAAATGACATCACTGCCATTCCTCACTGCCATCTCCTGCCATTGCTGCCAAGTAAATGTAAACCCAATCATTAAAATCTCATATAAGCTGTAACATGTTAATGTTACTTCAAAATTTTAATTATTTTTAATTTGTAACTTTCATTAACCACCTGCCGACTGCTCACGGTAAATAAACTGCGAGCAGGTGACAGGTGCAGGCAAGGCAACCTACATGTATGTTACTGCTTGCTTCCAGGTTTGGAGCATGCATGCGCACACCCTCCTACGATTAGACAAAGCACGAGTTTGGCAGCAGCTTTCAGCCAATGATTTTGGCTAAAAACTGATCATTGGCTGTGTCCAATCACACACAAAGGTCTGTGTTTATAAAAACACAGAACTCTGTGTACAGTGAACAGCGATATGGCTGTTTCTACTCCCTGAAAAGCAGGGAGAAAAAACTGATTATTTAGTAAAAGTAGCACACATTCTACATATTACATTTGTAAAACTGACCATAAACAGTTTGAATCTTGGCTGATTCAGCAGGGATTCAACCCATGTATGGGCAGGTTGAATGTGCCCAAGTTGATCGATCGATTATCTTGGGTACACCAGCCCTTCGGATTTTAAATGTGATTATTGCTAGCGGCAATGGGAGGGATTCCCCCATCAACACCGACTGTGTTGATGGGAGAATCAAGCTAATTTCTTTCCTACAATCTGTGTCTATGGCTGGCTTTGGGCACACAGTTATCCCATTGATTGCCCCTAGATGTTAACCCTTTCCCAGTCAGTGTCTTTAGTAGTACAGTGCCAGTGTACAGTATTATCACTGATCACTGTATTAGTGTCACTATCGACATCAGTGTCAGTTGGTGAACCTCCTAGACGTTGTCTGCTAGCGCCAGATTGTCCATCACCCTCATACAATCCCATTATAAGTCACTATAACTTTCACACAAACCAATTAATATACACTTATGGGGATTTTTTTATATCTGACATTTAGAAAAATACATTTTGGCCTATATTTATGAAGACAATTGACTGAATTTGTATTGGATATATATATATTTTTTCAAAATTTTAGTTTTTTTTTTTCATTTATATAATAAAAAATATTTGGACAAAATTTATGAAGAAGTGTTATTTTTTAAAATTTTCTATTGGATATTTTTTGTAGCAGACAGCAAAAAATATTGGGGTTTTTTTTCAAAATTTGGGTCTTTTTTTATTTCTATCACAAAAAATAAAAAAAACCCGGTATATTTGTGTGAAAAAAAATTATATAAATTTAATTTGGGTACAGTGTTGCATGACTGAGCAATTGCCAGTTAAAGTATTGCAGTGCTGAATAGCAAAAAATGCCCTGGTCATAAAGGGAGTAAATCCTTCTGGAGGTCAAGTGGTTAAAGAGGCATTCCGTACCGCCCAACTTTCCTGGATGAGAAGGAAGGACACCATGTAGTATGAAGGAGTAGCAGTAGTAGTAGTAGAGATCCTAGACCAGCAATGGGCAAACTACGGCCCGCGGGCCGTATACGGCCCGGCGGACCTTTTAATCCGGCCCGCGGAGCTAGGCTCCCGCAAGGCCAGTGGTCGGCAAGCCGCGGCTCTTTACAAATTTAGATGCGGCTCTCCTGTGTGCCGGGCGCCCGCTCCCCTCCCTCCTCTCCCCTCCTCTCCTCTCGGATGGCCGCCCCCCCTCTCGGATGGCCGCCCCCCTCCCTCCTCTCGGACGTCAGGACTCTGCAGCTGTCAGGATGTAGGCGGGGCAGCCAGGATGTAGGCGGGGCAGCGTGACGAACTCCTCTCACAGTCCTCCCTGAAGACCAGAACGGCGCGGGAATACGAGAGGAACGCGCGGACCAAAGGTAAGTGAATTGACACAGGGGGGGG